TTTGTTTTGAAAACATGCCATGGAAAAGGAGACAAAAGACTGTGGCCTCAGCCTCTCTGGCCTCTGTGTTCTGAGCACCTTGTGGGTGAGGACGGTGAGGGTCAGGGGCAGAGAGGACCTGGCGGGGGCTGACCCTGAAGGAGGGCAGGCGAGCAGGGCTTCGCCAGCCTGGCCGCCAGGGTCCCTGCCCCTGTGTGCATCTCCCCAGGCTTTCCGACTTTCATAGTCAATACTGAGAAAGAGCAGGTCACGCGGCCCCGTGGAGCCCGAGGGAGCAGTCTGGAAGCTTCCAGACCCGCGGTGTGTGCAGGTGGGGAGGGGCGGCCCCAGGCTGAGGTCACCAGGTCAGGGTCTCAGCTTCTCACCTTCTCTCAGGGGCCAGGATGGCTGAGCCTCCCCACCTTTACCCCCATAGGATTGCTGCAGGATCAAGAGTAATACACATGCAAGGGCTTAGAAACTAACCGTAGGAGTTGGGTAAATAGTTTGTTCATTCCTTATGATCTGTCTTGAGATCTGTAGTTGCATTCAGAAACCAAGAATTCAGAAACGTGGGAACGTTTACTTAAAGGTCAGACGTTGAAAGGAGAGAAATATGTAAAAAACTACTCAGACTCACGATTCCTTTTAGGTTTGCTCTGTTCTCAAGATAGTCACACGGAGCCCACGGAGGAAACCGCAGGGACGAGCCACGGTGTTTCAGCACAATGGGAGGCTCTGATGCCAGCTACTCTCAAAGCGGTGTCAAAAGAAAGCCAAATAGTTTACTTTAAAAGGACTTTTCACATTATTAGTGAATTTGCACACTCATTTATGAATAGCAGAGACATCTTTCTATGGTTTCAGGAAGGATATAGTTAACATTTACCAATGTCAGTCAAGTACAGGTGAAAACTATGTGCTTTGTACATGTTAGTTTTGGTCTTTTTTTTTTTTTAATGTAACTTCCTTTTCACTCAATCCCATATTTATATAGAGAGGTGGATTTGTGTGTGGGCATCAGATACACATATCCTGCATCTATATCCCAGATTAAAACAACAATTCAAACTGCCACATAAGTTTTAGGAAAAAAACAATAGTTTCCACCTCAGGAGCATTTTAGAGAAAAATTAAATATAAGGGAAAAAACCCTTCTTATTAAATTGTGGTATAACAGCTCACCACATCCTGTTGCAGGGACATCTGACGTGAAACACAGCAAAGGTTCCTCTTTCAGGTCCCTCACGATCCGGGAGGGTCACATGTTACCTGCAGTTCAAAATACTTCTGTAAAGAAAAAAAAAAACCTCTGTGTCGGTGGAAAAGCTGAATAAGAAGGTGGAAATTATCAGTAGAGAGAAGACATTGTAGGAAACCGTAGGTGTCTTTGGCACAACCATATCAAAGAGAGAAAGCCACCCCCGAAATAACCCACACGGAGCCCCGGGGCTGGGCCTGATGGGGGCTTGGACCCATGACCTCACGGAGGGAAGATAGGAAGTCGTGGCCAGGAGGACCGGGGCCGGGACCCTGTGCTCCACTTCCCACCCTCTGTCGGGGCCCCTCCACCTCAGCCCTACCCTGACCTGGTCTTTCTTTATCCATCTGTGAAATGGAGCCATCATGGCTTCCCTGCAGGACTCCTACCCAGACTGTGTCTGTGGAAGGGAGTGAGGTCTGAGCGCCCACCCTCAATCCCGGGGACCCTTGTGGGAAGCGTCATCCACTGGGGGTTTCTGGTCTTCCACCTTTACTTTGGGCAGCATCCTGGCTCAGGCAGCAGTGCTCAGGGAAGATGCAGGAGGATGTGTGTATAGGGGTGGAGGGTGGGTAGTTCTTGTGTCTGTTCCTAAGAGGAATGAAACACTGTGACCCCAGCCTGCCCTTTCCAGTCGTGGACAGCACTGGGTCCAGCCAACAACTTGTCGACAGGGGGCTCATCAGAGACCCCAGCTGACGGCGATGGGCAGGAGCTCTGCTCCCACCCTGGCCCCTGTGGCTCTCCTAGGGGCTCCCCACAGGACCAGGCCTCACTCAGAGCAGAGCCCTGCACTGGCCTCCTGTCTGGGCCCAGCATGTCCGGGATATGCCTCTTCACTACACCCCCACCCCCACCACGGGCACCCCCTTAAAGGTTCAGGTGCCCCAGTAGGCAAAAGGGGAAGCCCACCACTGAGGTTTCTTCCCCTTTTATCTTGTCAAACAGATGTTATTTTTCCTGTGGTCTCTCTAACCCTGAGTAAAGATTCTCAGCTACTCCACTGACTGCCTTACTAACCCTCAGAGCTCCCTCCCAACCCCCTCACTTTTACCCCTCAGATGGGGAAAAAATGGAAACAGTGACAGGTTTTCTTGGGTTCCAAGATCACTGTGGACAGTGACTGAAGTCATGAAAGTAATAGATGCTTACTCCTTGGAAGAAAAGCTTTGACAAACTTAGACAGCATTAGAAAGCAGAGACATCACTTTTCAGAAAAAGTCCATATAGTCAAAGCTATGGTTTTTCCACTAATCATGTACTAATGTGAGAATTGGATCATAAAGACAGCTGAGTGCCAAAGAATTGATGCTTTTGAACTGTGGTGTTGGAGAAGACTCTTGAAAGTCTTTGGACAGCAAGGAAATCAAATCAGTCAATCCTAAAAGAAATCAACCCTGAATATTCATTGGAAGGACTGATGCTGAAGCTGAAGCTCCAATACTTTGGCCACCTGATGTGGAGAATCGACTCGTTGGAGAAGACCCTGATGCTAGAAAAGATTGAAGGCAGGAGGAGAAGGGGACGCAGAGGATGAGATGGTTGGGTGGCATCACCGACTGAATAGGCATGAGTTTGAGCAAGCTCCAGGAGTTGGTGAAAGACAGGGAAGCCTGGCGTGCTGCAGTTCATGGGTCGCAAAGAATTGGACACGACTGAGCAACAACGACATTACCTCTCAGGTCTCTCTCCCAGTTCCAGTCATTATTGCCCATCAGATATTTTTCAGCCATCTATTCCTGATCTTACTAGACTGCTCTGAGATTTCCATTTTCCTAAACCTGGGAAGGCAGAGCTGGATTCTGAGTGGTGTGACTGACCTCCACCCCCACCCCCTTCAGGTGAGGTCGAGCACAGTTCCCAGTGTGAAATCTTTGCCTTGAGGCAAGACAGCTGATTTCTGTTCTGGGATGGAGCTGGCCCCACCACCTCCATTACCCTTTCTCAGTAGTAGCTGTCACCCAGTGGGAGGGACCCTGACCTGCGTGGCCCCAAACCTGCTTCTTTTCTCGGAGAAATTTAGGCAGCCCCACCAGGCCCCTGGCCTCGGGTTGCTTTAGGACAAAATGAGGTCACGGTCAGGAAAGCGCCCCGTAAACCATCGGGTGCCCAGTGAGGACAGTGTGAATGGCTCTTCCATGCCCATCCTGCCACAGGGTGCCCGCCGGCCCCTGTGTGTATGCACCGCCCACCCCCGGCACGTACGCTCCTCTCTCCCGTACACTTTCTACCGTCCGCAACCCCCTCCAACTCCCCATCTGCGCACCCCCACCCCGCACATATGCCCTCTACCGGTCCGTGCCCCTCCGCCACCCCCCCATGTACGCTCTCTCCCGCATTCGCGTCCCCTCCACTCCCCATGTACACTCTCTGTATGCGCTCTCTCTGTCTTTAGTTGTTCTGCACAGTTGGCCTGGGGCAGAGACACCCTGGGTGCCATTGAGGCCCATCCTGACCCAGACCAGACCTCGGAGAGACTCGGATCCTGTCTTTTGTCAGAATGACCTTTGGGGCAGCGCTTGGGAGAGGTGGACTAGACTTAGTAGACTTAGGAGCACAGAGGCCAAACCTGGAGGAAACAGAGAAGCTGCTGGGCTGGGAGCCCATGTCCCCCCACCTTCCCTGCCCCAGGCCCTCGGGGACCCATGAGCCAGGCAGGGGCATGTGGCCTTACCCGCCTGCCGCAGCGCCTGGGCCCAGGTGCACTGGCCGAGGGCCGTGGAGGCAGCTGCCGCCTATCCAGCATTTCCCGCACGAGGCTGGCGCCATTGGCAGAGGACCTGTGACCACCTGTCAGACAGCCGTGTCCGTCCGGGCATGTCCCTGTGGGCCGCTGCCCGGCACCCCCACCCCCCACGTGCCCCCTCCTCAGGAGGAGCCGGGCTCCGGGGTCCACAGGGCCAGCAAGTTCTGTTGTCGGTTCCCGTGACACAATTCCTGGTTCCCCACTGTGCTTTATTATTGTTATTCTTAAAAATACTTGGCGGGTAGGGGGGTGTTGAAAAGCAGTTTAGGGAAGGGAGTGGGCTCGGAAACGCGCCCCACTGATTGCTCCGGGAAGCCGCCCTCGGCCCGCCGGGGCCTCGGCAGAAACACATGGTTTATCTGGCGGCAGAGGGGAGCCCGGGCAGTTCCGTGACGCGAGCACGTCCCCACCTCTGAGCCCTGCGAGCGGTGCCGACAGCCTCCCGGTGACATTTCCCATCTGTGCCATCGGGGGTAGGGGCGGACGGAGGGAGGTTGCCGGTCCCTCCCGAAGCCTCTGCCAGCTCCGCTCACTTCCTCCCCAGCTGCCAAAAATCACAGGCCAGTGGTGGACACGGACGAGGCAACAGAGGTGAAGGAAGAGCCCTGAACAAAGGGAGGCTCAGGCCGGGCAGTCAGCCCTCCTTCCCGACCTGCCCTGAGCTGACTGGCCACAAGGCCGCAGCAAGGGGCCCACGGGGCTTGTGCTTCAGGCGGTGCTGCCACGGCCGGGGTTTATCTGTTGGTTTTGCAAACCTGCATGAGCGCAGATGGCGTCCTGCCCTGGGTCAGCCATCAGAACCTGACGCAGCCCCTGGCCTCAGCCCAAGTACTGGCCCTGCCGTCACAGCTCCGGGTCTGGGGCAGCCGTGTCCTGCCGGCTCAGGACTCATTCTCAGGGCACAACTTTTCACAGGCTGAACATAACTGAGTGATGGGATTTCTGGTGTTTACGTAAACTTGGCGTGTGGAGTCCTGTCTGTCTGACTCTCTCTCTACTTTTGTTTTCTTACAGTAAATGAGATAATCCGCAATGACCTCTCCAGCACCAACATCCACTCGTAGTTGGCAGCGTGGACTCTCAGAGGCTACGTGGTGTCTGTCTGTTCCACGGTGATGACTCTGAGTCAACAAATTGAATCCACACCTGGTACCACTGGGAGCTTCCGCCGCAGTGAAGGCTCAGGTCACTTGTGCAAAGTAGCCCAAGGAAGGAAGGACCGATCCCTCTTCTGAAGGAAAGTCACCTCAAGAAGGAAATGAAAGTGGGTGGGTGGGGGGAGCACGGAAGACAGACCTCGTGACACTGCCCTCGTGGCCTCGACCCGACATGGCGGCCTGAACCCAAGCCGCGCCCTTCAGGCACGCTGGATTTTTCAGTGGAAGTGCCTTATTTCAGCAGACCGCAGCAGCTGGGCACTGTGGAATCAAGCACTGACATGGCTACCAGGAGGGCATTTGTAGGAGCAGAAGCTATAGGACGTTTCATCATGAGGCTTTATCCTTTGTATAACTTATAAGAATACTGGAGGACTGGGCATTGTGAGGAAGCCCTACCATGTTTCCTACTTTCCCACCTCTTCCTGGGCTGTGACATACAATTCTGTTGCCTTACTCAGTGCGCTTCAGAACTGCTCCAAAGTGTCATCTCAGATCTCGTGACTACCTTCCCTCCCCTGTGTTACTCAGACCATAGGGTTGTTCATTGTAGCATGTTAGGATTTTGTTTTTAATCTGGCTTCAAACATAGCACAGGTAAGTTGAATAGCACAAGATAGGTTACTGGACAAAAAGAGAAATCTCTCTGTCTTGGGATAGGTCTTGCATTTGCATGTGTGTACATATATAGGCATATATTTATGGTGAACATAACCGACATGGTGACATTCAGTCTCCACCCAGCAAGGGTGTCCGTGTCAGCAATAATCAGTATCCGTTTTGGAAAATACACCGGAGGCTCAAGATCCAGCTCCCCATAGCCACATCCGTGGGGGCGACCCCCGGCCCCAGGAGGTCTGTGTCTCGGGTCTCCTGCAGTTAACCAAGCACTTTAGAACCAGGAGAGGTGCATCCATGATATCGGCTATTACACCAAATGGCAGAATTGGAAAGGAACTGTAAATATTGTTACAGAAGGAGTGTAATATATTTGTTCCACTGTAAGATCATTCTTTTCACAAAAGCCTTGTAACTGCTTCATCTGAGGAAACCATTACCAAAAACAGCGTTTTACTATGTGGTGACTGTAGTGTTTCCAGACTAGTTACTGTTAACATAGGTTAGTGTGAGCTTTACTACTGCATTTTGTACCCATAACAGCTTATTACGCGTTATTGCTAGCCGTGACCTGTTGTTTCACATAACCAAAAAGCATGGTTTAATGAAAACACGTTTAACCTGATAACTGTGCCTTAGGAACTCACGCCCCCTGCTGGAATGTGGACGAATTGCACCCTCGGGGGAGGTGACACATCCTGTCACCAAACTCAAGTGTTTCAGTTGGGAAGGCGCTCTCCCACGGAAAGAATTATTTTTAAAATGTTGTTCTGTACGACTATGTCTTACTTGTTTTTTAAGTCACAGAAACGAAATCCTGAAAGCCATATTTGTAACATTTGCACATTACTGTGAAGAGCTGACGGTATATGGCTTCCTGTACATAGCGCCCCCCAACCCCGCCTGGAGCCCTGTCCTGCATTTAGCCTCCTAGGAATTGCATGAGACGTTTCTCGGGAGACCGTCCTACAGAAAGGAGATGTTTGATACTGTGTTAGCTCTCTTTGTAGGTAGAAAATAGATCCAATAAAGCAATATTTTTCTTTCTTTTTTTTTTGCTGGACCATCTTAGTCGGACTGTGAGTCATTCCATGCATGGAAAAATCTTCTTTGTTCCTAAGCGTGTTTTCTGCTGTAGGTCCGTGTGCTTGTGTTTGTAGAAGGGCTTCCTGTCATCCAGCTGCACGTGTGAGGCGTGTTCTCGCCTCCTTACATGTATCAGGAAGGCCACCCTGGGAGGCGTGGATGTTAGTGGCGTCCCCATTGCTTAGATGGCATGTCAGAAATGCTTCTCCAGGCCCCGTGGAGAGGACCTCCGCTTCTGCCAACATTTCTGTCTGGAGGCAGAGCCAGGTGAGACCTCCCACACTCATACGTGACCTGCCATCACCTTCACAACGAGGCCTGTGGCCACCTGGCTTGGCTGTCTCCTCCCCTCCCCCACCCACATCCCCTACTTCGGGCTCAGGTGGGGACTGTCAGCAAGTTGTCCTAAGGCAAGGGTGACACCAGGAACTTCCAGGGGACACTCCAGGGCTCAGTGCACTGAATTGCGGAGATACTGTTTTGCATTCAGGTCTTTCAAACTCAAGAATTCCTGTTTCTTTGGCCAGAAGGTTTACAGATGGTGTACGTGTGTTAGTCACTCAGTCGTGTCCAACTCTGCGACCCCATGGACTGTAGCCCACCAGGCTCCTCTGTCCATGGAATTCTCCAGGCAAGAATACTGGAGTGGATAGCCATTCCCTTCTCCAGGGGATCTTCTAAAATCCTAGAAAAATCTCATCGATGCAGTTAGCAAGAGTCCGTCCCACCCAGTTTCTGTCCTGTCTGAAGGGAGCCCAGTGGTAACGCCCACAGGAGCTCAGGGAATCGAAGATGCGTGGGTCGGCTAAGGTGGGGGAGGACCGTGGGAGGTGACACTCGGCCGGCGGTCAGCATGGGGTGGCCTCAAGCCTGGGACTCCGCTGGAGAGCTGGGTCCCAAAGCACATCCCAGAGGCCACAGGGCATGCAGAAGGTCACAGCTCATGTCCACCTCTCTGAAGGACGTACTGGAGGCTGTTAGTTTCAAAATGAGTCTCTATAAGCCCACCCCCACTCCCAACAATGGCATTTTATATTCCAGAAATGAAAACCTTTATAACAATGGTTTCTGCAAAAGAGGCTGAAAAAGTAAAAGTGAAGTTTCTCAGTTGTGTCCAACTCTGCAACCCCATGGACTGTAGCCCGCCTGGCTCCTCCATCCATGGGATATTCCAGGCAAGAATCCTTGGAGTGGATAGACATTCCCTTCTCCAGGGGATCTTCCCGACCCAGGGATCGAACCCAGGTCTCCCACATTGCAGGCAGACTCTTTACCACTTGAGCCACCAGGGAATCCCTCAAAGGAGTCTGGGCCTCTGCAAATACCCGTTTACTGAGTTTTCATTCCTTTCATGTTGCTTTTGAATAAGAAGGAAAGCATCCCACCACTTGTTTCTGGCAGGCAGCTACCGTGCTTTGCTCAGGTGTGTAGACTTGGAGGCCAGGTCACCTCCCAGATGCTCCCGCACTGTCCTGGGTGACCTTGGCCCTTCAGGAACCTGGGCAGGTGCAGCCCGGGAGCCGCTGACTTGGGACACTCGGGGCAGCCTCATGGGGGCATCTGCTGACTTCCCCCTCCTCCCCTCAGGCTTCCCTTGGCTCCAGCCTTGCCCCAGCCCGAGACAGTGTGAAAAAACCTGATAGACATCCAATTTCTCCTTGTAGCCAGTGCAACCCGAGCAGAACTCGCCGGAGTTCTGAGAGACCCCTCTCTGTCCGAAAATGTCCCCTGATCCCTGCAGCCCCCACCCTGTCACACAGACCACCCACCCCACCCCAGGACGTGTGGGCCAACCCCAGTTTTAAGGAGGGGCCATGGGGCAGCTGCTTCTGCCAATCGCCAGGGTGCAGGGCCCCGGCTGACGACACTGCAAGGAGGGGTTTCCGCACCCTTTTATTACATATTCCTTCAGAGACAGGCTCCATGTTGCAATAAACTGCTTGGGTTGTTTGGAAAGGAAAGACAGAGAAGACAGGAGCAGTTGAAGCTGAGGAAACCAAGGCCAGATGTAGGGAATCCACAGAAGATGAGATTAGCTGCTTTCAAGCGTGCAACCGGGATTTAGTGCATTCACAGTGCTGAGATACCTCAACTTCCTTCACTCCAAAAGGAAACCCTGCACCTGTGAACAGTCACTCCCCACCCCCTCCTCCAGCCCCTGGGAACCATGATAATTCTGCTGTGTGAATCTGTGTGTTCTGGACACTTCTTGTAAACTGACTTGAACAACATGGCCTCTTTTACGGGGACTTCAAGTTCATCCACATAACGGCCTTTATCAGAGCTTCATTCCTTATGGCCTAATACTGTCCACTCTGTGGATAGACCACACCGTGTGTCCATCAGGCAATGGACATCTGGGCTGTACCCACCTTTTGGTGACTGGGAGTAACACTGTTGTGAACATTCGCATATGAGTTTTTGCTCCAATCCCTGTTTTCAGTTCTCCAGGGGAACGCCTAGGAATGGAATTCCTGGTAAATTGGTAATTGTGTGTTTTACTTTTTGAAGGACTGCTTTCACTTGCTCAATTTTTAGATTATCCATCCCTGAGACAGACTCTGGATCACTAACCTAATTTGGAATCACATATGTGAAGCACATCATATTTATACTTCTTTATGCCAAAAAAATTAAGTTAGCGCTAAGATGACTAAGTGCTCGTTTATGCCCCAGCAGAAGGCAGCTCCTGCATGTCTGCCTCCAGCCTCTTGGGTGGAGTCAACCCGCCCTGGTCCTGCCAGTGAACTGGGGCCTTGCTGTGCATCTGAGTCATTGAGGTGGTGCCAGCCAGGCCCCAGGTCACGTGTGTCTGTACTTCACACGTGCAGACGACAAGACCTAGAAGAAAGCCTCATGGAGGCCACGCTGCCGCACCCTGTTTCTGAAAGAACCGAGCTGCTGCAGGCGTCTTGCACGACGACCTCCCTGCTGATGTGCGCCAGCCTGCCAGCAGGGCCGCACACACATGCTCTCACACACGCACTCATTCACTCACACACACACAGACACGCACTCACACACACACTCACACCCAGACACACACACACACATGCACTCATTCACTCACACACACACACCCAGACACATACACATACTCACACACAGACACCCACACACACACAGACACCCACACCCACCCAGACACACACTCGTTCATTCACACACTCACTCCCAGCCAGATACATACATACTTACTCACAGACAGACACACACACACACACACACAGACACACACAGACACCCACACCCAGACACATACACACAGACACACACACAGACACCCACACACACATGCACACACACCCAGACACTCACACCCAGACACATACACATACTCACACACACACACACACACAGTCATTCACTCACACACACACTCACACCCAGACACATACACACAGACACACACTCACACCCAGACACATACACACATACACACATACACACACACACACATGCACTCATTCACTCACACACACACACCCAGACACATACATACATACTCACACACAGACACCCACACCCACACACACATGCACACACACCCAGACACACACTCATTCACTCATACACACTCACACCCAGACACATACTCACACACAGACACACACACACAGAGACACAGACACATGCACACACACCCAGACACGCACTCATTCACTCACACACTCACACACACCCAGACACATACACACATACTCACACACAGACACACACATGCACACACACCCAGACATGCACTCATTCACTCACACACACACTCACACCCAGACACATACACACACACTCATACACACACAGACACCACACACACACTCATTCACGCTCACACACACACATATACTCATACCCAGATACACACACACCCAGACACACACACACTCATTCACTCACATACTCACACACACTCACATATACACACACACATACACACCACACACACACACTCAAACACACTCATATCTACATACACATACCACACTCAAACTCACACACTCACATTCACACATACCCCGCAGAATCTTCGTCTCTAGCAGCTGCCGTCTTTTGGAGGCTATGACCACAGGATTTAAGCGTCACGGCCTCCACACTGTTGCAGGGAGCAACTCATGGTCAAGACTTGATAACAAGGGCGTTTGTCCTCAGCTGCCATTCCTCCTTTTTTTCCAGAGGGAAAGCACTGATGAGCATCTGTTTAGGGGAAGGTTAAGTCCCAAGTGGGAGGCGGGGGCTGGGGCCTCCACACCCCTGCCCTCACGTGCGTGTTGGGTCTCCTGTGCTTGGGGTCAGCTGGGCTTCAGGATCTGTGGGTTCACAGTTCTCATCTAAGTGGAGCAGTTCAGCCACAACCTCTTCCAGTGTCTCTGCCCCTCTGGCCATAGCTCTGATCACACACCCGAGGCTGCACAGAGTCATCCATAGTTCACAGCACTCACTTCTGCAGAATTTTCCTGTTTTATCTTCCGTAGCTTTTTGTGCTTCGTCCTCTTCGGAGGCATCTAATTGCTGTGACTCAGGGTACCTTCAGCCCCGACGCTACAGCTTTCAATACAAGTTTTTTTGGGCATGTCACTCTGCCCTCTGACTCCTTGCATGTGTGGGAGACAGTTATAAAAACTGCTTTTATATCCTTGTTTGATAACTCCATGATGGGTGTAATTTTTAGTTGATTTTTATCTCATCTGGGTTGCATCTTCTACTGGTTCTCTCCAGGGTCAGAGATCAAACATGAACTTTTGCCTCACTGAGCATGGGTCATGTTCTGTGTTCTTATGAATGCTTGTTCTGGGGAGCAGTTAAGTCACTTGGAAAGATCTGATCCTTTTGGGTCTTCCCAGGTTATAAATGTTTGACGGAACCAGAGCAACACATGGTCTATGGCTAATTTTTCCCACTCTCAGAGCAAAACCCTCTGAGGATACTCCCTAGTGTCCTGCGAAGTATGGGGATGTATACACACCATGCATCAGCCTG